AGCAAATTTCCATTTGTCGAGTCACTGAAGCCGACATTTACAACTGACATGCCACATAGCTGCATAATTGACTGTTTGAATTTTGAGGGCCAGTATGTCACGTATTCTAGCTTCTGTGAATTCCTTACGATCTTGCTACAGCACGAAATAGTGCAAAAACGCATGGTCACATCGGCCTAACTGGTGCGTTCCAGCCTGGATTTCAATCCCAACTATGGATTTTCTACGAGTTTAATTGATATTTATCAGTCATCATCGACAACTTGATGAATTCGATGAAATTTGCAGGAAACCGGGGTATGGCTTCACGGACGAGTTTGAATTGGCGCTGGAAGTGATGCAGAAGGGGAAAGTAATGCTCAACAAGTTGAATCTTAGTGACAGCAGCCGCAATCAGTTATGGCGCTTCGCATCCGACGGTTGCTTAGAGAATATTGGAATGAATAATCGTGCAAGACCTGGCGAGCGTTATGTTCTTGATGTGCTGGACAGTGGTGGCTTTGTTCTGATGATGCTGAAACGAAATACCGCAAGGGAACGCTTCCAGAAATGGTACTTCACAGCGGTATAGTTTAATTCTTTTTTCCTCACATCATGCTTTTCTTTTTGCCGCTTTGCCCAAGTTGCATGAAATCCTCTTTGTGGAATGATATGTTTTAATGTTTTTTGGTCTGGCTGGAAAATGGGAGTGAAGGTGACACGGAATTTCGACATAACCCTATTATGCAGTTGGATTTGTAAAGTTGAGGAGGCTGATTTTAGAAGCTACCAGATATTGCACATTAAGGAATTGGTAGTTGGTGCAAATTTGATAGCATTCAGGTACCGTAAGAGTGGCAAACATTCATTATCTGTTCTGTTGACAGCATTTGCGTTTCAGTGCAAAGTATTGCCCCTAAGAAGTGTGAGAACAGATTCTTCGTGTGGCGAGAATGATGCTTGGAATATGTGTTCTTGTTTTTATGGAAATTAAAACGCTGCATCATGTGAGTGTTGTGCAATAGTCAGTCATAAAAAGATGTAAATTGAGATGTGAATTTCACTGACGAGAACACGCTGCTCGCTAAACCGGTAATTGTCTAGGTTAACGGGACATCAGTAGAGCATTTTCAGAAGACATTGTACAGTGAAGATGTAGACTGAAAAAAGACAGCTCAGGACTATTAAATTATGCGAAAAGAACTTCGCTTTGAGGAGATTTGGTAATTATTCGCTTCAGTTCGTGCGTTTAATTTTACAGGAACGGCAGTTGCGTTGTAAAATAGAAGGAATGTTTGTTGAAGCACGCAAAACAGAAGTGGTACTTGCTGCCCCGAACAAAAATTCACCTCGAAGTAGGAACGGAGTGCCTGTCGAGCAGGTCTGGGAGCTACAGTCGCAACGACCAGGCAGTGGCATTTTGGACGTTGAGTGCTTGTACAGAGGACCCACTCTGGTATTTTTTTAAAACACTCTTTAACTTTAAATATATTCGCCAATGAAAATTACCTGTATTCTTGCTCCTTCCTGAAGAAATTAATATTTTGCGAGCTAGTTTGCTAGCACGCTGTCCCGTACGAGTAGACTTCAGATCGATTAGATTTCCTTCTCATCAATTTTCTGAACAGTTCTGCCACTTCTTGTGCAGAAATTGCTCCAGCTGACAGTACAAATCTTGTTCTCCCAGACGACACGTATACTCTTCTGAAATTCTGTTATTTTCTTTAGGCATCTGTTTATTAGCAGTTCATTTGCAAATGTTGCGTTTTTCTAAAGCGTAAAAAATTTTAATTATTTCTCTCGAAATTGCAGGTTGTTCGGATAACTGATAGAGCGAAACCTTATCGAGCAGTGCAGCGTTTTCATCAGGCACCGGAATTACTGCTGGCTTGTGCTGCAGCCGCTGCGGATGGTCCAGGATGCAGCAGAGTATGCGACTTCGAAGTGAATGTCTCGATGCGCAACGGTTCCTTTCCTAAACATTTCATTCCTGATTTCTAGCCGTAGACCGCGGATTTGACTCACGGGTAGAGCAGCCAAGCCCTGTACGAATTGTTGATTCGTTTAAATGTTAATTTGGTACAGGCCTGTCATTAGTTGACTACGAAACAGCGTTGAAAAGATCGGCGACCTTACCAGCAAGTACTGCGACTGAGAATTGCTACCGCTCGAACCACTCTCGATTGTTTCTTCCTCTAACAGAGAGTGAATACGAAGCATTTCGGTACCTAACTTTTGTGTCTGCATTGCGAATTGATCGTATCACTCTCAAAAAAGTACACTTTTTTGCCGCACTTTTAGGTATCGGTCTGTCATTCATTAACGGTTTACACGAAGAATTGATTTATGCGAGGTTTCAAGGCATAGTGCTGCACGTGAATCGCCAAGGTCGTACGCATCAAATCACAGGCAGTGTTGAAGTTATTCAGGTATTTTACAAC